GGTTAAGATTATATGTGACAGTCAGTGTAACGTGAACGAATCACTGACATTTGAAGACATGAAGAGGTGAGCTGAGCAAAGAGACAACAATACCTTCACAGACAAAAGAGCAGGTCAACATTGTATTATTATTTTCTCCTTATAGTGTTCTATTGATGACTTATTTGTCGTGTGATCAACCTTTTGGGCTAGTTGTAGATGTGTTCGGAAGCAATTCGTAACATTTTACTAACATTTTGGCAAATTGAACCAAATAAACGAAATGACTCGAAAAAACATTCGTTCATCTCGATGAACAAGACTCAAAGATCCGAGTCAGTAAAATGATCTGAACTTCCCATCACTAGCAGACCTGGTGCAGTGCAATCAGAGCTGCATCCAATGCTTATTAATGAGCTCCCCTAACCCCACCCCCCACAGTGATATCACGAGCTCCATTAAATCCATTGTGTCTGACATTGCATCACTGAGATATGCAGTCTCAGCTTGCATCATCAAGGCTGCAACCAGATAATATTAGGCCAGGGCATTGAGTCTTGCACTTATGGTTCCTCTAAGTTCCAAAAATACAAAGAAACAAACAAATACTGGCAAAAAAGATTACACATACATGCATAACAGTACATGTGAGCACTCGATGCTTCAGCCGAATGTACATGTAATGACTGCGAACGAAGCTCAGGGCACGCCGTAATGTCAGTGGAATGATGCGCCACATGTTTATTGACACTTGTACAGAGAAAACAATTATCACCGGGTCATGCAAAGCAATATCACTGCGCACAAAGAAAACACAACATGAACAGAGTGACGCCGGAATAAACACACACCCAAATCAAACTCCTGAGATGTTTAACGTACAGTACGATACAATATGCGGAGATACTATAAACATGGCACTCATGAATATCCGGACGGGTTGATAAGTGCTGGATGCAAGCTGGATGTCGCTAAAACACCAGGCGTCCCACTGAAATCCCACCACTGCGTTGAAACCGACCAATCCAAGCAACGATTTTCGTAGGAAACTTGAATAGGAAAGTGCGTTTATAAAGATCCCGAGGTATTGTTGAACTAATGGCTAATGCTTACAACACGGCAACTAGCTATACACACGCACACACCCACACACACAGGGGATAAACAAGGGAAACTAGTCACAAATGTTTGTCTCTGAGTAAAGAAAACACATTAGCACGTTACAGCTACGACATCGAAGGGTTATAGACGACTTTAGCGTACACCAGCGTCCTGCAACTGATCGTGCCATCCCCTCCTCATATAAACCCCAGTGTTTTGAGGCAGAGTGACTCAAATATGTAGACAACTGGCGAGAACGATCACTGTACATCACTCTAACCTTCTTAGTTAACACTCGGAGAATTACAGCAGAGTTGGGAGGAGAGGTTGAATGTACACGGCTACATGGAGTTAACCTCAGACCAGGATGCATATCTGTCGGACGAGTCCCTGGCCACCCTCAGTGGTTTTGGGATTTGGCCATTAGTCAGAGAACAGGCTTGCAAAAGACTTTCGCAAGTTTCGGATGGTCTCTGCCTTTGCTTCGTCCTCGTTGCTGGAGCGGAAGGTGTCGCCGAAGGCATTAAAGGCGTTGGTCAGGGACTGGGACTTGCTGCAAAGCAGAAGACAAAAACACAAGCAAGATCAGATTACACTTTCATTTAGACAGCTACTTTTAGTCACATGAGATGGTTAAGACAGGGGTTTAGTCTCACTCATGGAGACGCACTTGCCTTTAGTGCACTTTCCTTTAGACTGGAGGGCCGCAGTTCTGCACAGTTTAGTTCCAACCCTAATCAAACACACCCTATGAAACTAATTCCAGTCCTTAAGGCTTGTTTGAAACCTACAGGTAAGTGTGTCAGAGCAGGAATGGAACTAAACTGTGCAGGGCTGTGGCCCTCCAGAAACTGAGTTTGACACCCCTGACCATACCTGCCAACAAGACCAGCCAAAGACCTGAAGGGGCCATCGGAATAGTCAGCAATCCAGGGATGTTATAGATTGTACCAAACACTTGGGGACTGGGGGAAAGGGGGGGAATTATGGGAGTTTTCCAGGAGAAATGACAAAACGGGAGATGGGTGTGAATACGGGAGACTACCTAGGAAAAATGGGAGTGTTGGCAGGTATGCCCCTAACAGTTTGGTACTCTTAATGTCAGCATGGAATCAAAATTAAATCATCCGATTTCTACATGTATCTGTGTTATTTTGTAAAATTTATTTGCCTTCATAATCTTTAACCAAATATCTTCCCTCCAACTTTGAAATGACTTTTCATCCCATCTGGTCACATGGTCTGACTTTAAGGTGGAACTATCGGCCATTTAAGGCAGGGCTATCAGTCGATTAGGGTGAAGCTATCAGTCCCTGAGGGCAGCACTATCAGTCATTTAGGGCAGGGCTATCAGTGAGTTCCTCGTTTTTGCCCTGCTTTCATCTATTTGTCAATTTTTCTTCATTTTGTTAGCAATGCCCAACAATCCAATCGGTTCCAAATAGATTAATTCAAGCAACGCTCTACATTTTTTTTCTAATCTCAGGATCGATTATAATCAAATATGCGAAAATTGGACAGTCTTAACTTCTGTTTTCATTGTTGTTTACCAGGTCGTTGGGGAGGTTTCTGGTGCAGTGCAATCTGAGCTGCATCCAATGCCTTTTTAATGGGCTCACCTTACCCCACCCCTCACCGTGACGTCACTAGCTCCATTTGAGCACCGCTGCCAATGAATGCATAGTTTTGGGTATCTTTTAAAATGGGATCCAGTAGTATCAATGCATCAGGAGAATGCTTGTGCACCCCCAGAGTAGAGAGCAGCATTTCCTCCTGAAATAGACAATTTTTTTTTCTAACTGAAGCAAAAGTGAAGCGACTTACTTCAAGAGAGGATGGGATGACTTCTGCTGGGGTGCCGGCTGTTCCTCCACAGGAGGTTGGGCTGGAGCTGGAGCTGGGGCAGGGGCTGGAGTGGCTCTAACAGGGGCTGATGCAGCTTCAGATGGGGCGGCAGGCTGAGCTCGAGCCTCAGGTTTGGCTTGCTCTCTGAGCACTGGTTTAGGCTGGAGCTGAGGTTTAGCTGGTGACGGGGGTTTAATGGGAACTCTGGCGGGGGACTGTTCTTGAGCAGGGACTGAATCTGGCTTGATCTGACCAGGATCCTGATCTGAGTCTGCTTTCAGAAGAGCTTTAGCGGGAGGGGGGGTTTGGGGTTTTGGTTGGATCTGAGGTTTGGAGTTTCTCCGAACAGGAGGCACAGGCTTCGGGGGAAGAGGTTTGGGAGGTTGGGGTTTGGGGGGCAGATCCGTTGGCTTCCCTGGAGTGGGTTCAGGTGCCGCTTGGGTTTGGGGTTTGGGCTGCTGCGTGGTGGGTGGCAGAGTTGGGGTTGGGCCTGCTTTGGGCACAGGTTCCTGGGCAGGGATTGGCTCAGGTGTAGGTTCTTGACTCTTAGGTTGTGGCTCTTGGGGTTTCACTGCCCCCCCTAGGTTTAGTACAAAAGAGAGTCATCATATTATGACATTATGCAAATGCTGAATCGTGCAAGAAGGTTTTAAATCCAGCACCGGAAACTTTGCATGATCTATGATAAAAAAGGAAGGCACCCCCAAGACTGGCCAAAGTAACCATACAAAGGTTATCGCCCAAGGTAAGGATAGTCATGTCCACAAAGCAAAATAATGTTTGACTTCAAACAAGCAGAATGAAACAGACAGGACAGTTAGCTTGCAGCAGTTTGATAGGTGTGGATGTGGAGAGGAATAGCTGCAGGTTCACAACAATGGATCATGCACACGAAAGAACCAAGACCCAGAGGCTGCATGCACCATCTTTAGAACAAAGACTGCAATTTTAGGTGTTCACCCCTGGCCTTGATTGGAATGTTTTGCATTGTTACAGATATCATTAGTGTGCACTTTAAGCAAAAGGGGAAGTGTATATACCAAACATAAAGAACCATTGCTATGCATGCAGGAGCAGGGAAATCGTGGGACGTTGTTTGTTTGCTTGTGTATGAGAGATGTGGGTTTGCTTGTTTGATTGTGTTCCCTGCTTTTCACTTTAACTGGGCTTTGGCCCTTTTGAACGTTTACAAAGACACTCACCAGAACTTCATGTCTTTCGTAAAGGGTGTTCAATTTAAAATGAGGTTAACCAAAATATCATTCAGCAACACAGAACAGTAAGTCTGGAAAATGGGAGCTTTATTACTTTGGACATCAGGGGGAAAGACTAGCTCTATATCAGACAATAATCACAGGTATAACCCAAGTACTGGATTTAAAGAGGCAGTGACATCAGCATAGCACAATCGACCCAAGTTTACTGCTCAGACCACACTATGGGCGGCCACATCTGCATATAGCCATCTGATTGTTCACAAGTATGTTTGACGAGTACATTCATTGATTCAATAACTACTTTTCACACATCAAAAATATTTCTGTTTTACCCACTCTTTGGTTATGCATGCAAATCTTAAGGTAACAGTTTCCATGCAATATAAGGACACATTAGAAACTCTGAACATAGATACCTCTTACGTGTTATAGATAGCATCTTGCACGATAAAACAGTTACAAACATCAACATACAGAATAGACACTACACTGAGAACACCTCACACATCCTTCTTTACACATTCAGCGGTGTCCAAAGCACTAAGCACGGTGTCTGTATAAACTCACTGTTAATATTGCATTTTCAAATGCCAAGGCCAAATCTGTACCTCCATATTAGCTTACTGAATTGAATGTCTTTGCATAAAAAACAGCGAGTCCACTAAATGGCTTAAATTCAAAATCCATCTCCACAATGTTATAAAATTGCATTGCATTCATGATGTGCAGTTGATGGCTTAGAGAGAGAGAGAATCGTATACGTTTTTAAACAGTCATTATTGAATAAGATCAGCAAACCCGCATGAAAAATACTATAGTAATTTACAGCAAATACTGCAGTGTTTCTGAAACATACTATAGTAAAGAACTTGGATAAATTTGTTTTTGGTGATTCTATAGTCGCTATGGTAACACAACTACAGTAATTAATCTGTTGTGTTGATTCTACAGTCACTATGGTAACACAACTACAGTAATTAATCTGTTGTGTTGGTTCTGCAGTTGCTATGGTAACAAAACTACAGTAATTAATCTTCTGTGGTGATTCTACAGTCTCTATGGTAACATTACTACAGTAATCAATCTGTTGTGGTGATTCTACAGTTGCTATGGGAACACAACTACAGTAATTAATCTTCTGCGGTGATTCTACAGTCTCTATGGTAACACAACTACAGTAATTAATCTGTTGTGTTGATTCTACAGTCGCTATGGTAACACAACTACAGTAATTAATCTGTTGTGGTGATTTTACAGTTACTATGGTAACACAACTATAGTAATATAAACAAATGCCACAATACTGTAGTTTTCTTTAATTATAAGGTATATAATACTACATTACACCGCAGTTTACTATAGTAAAAATGAAATATATTACAGTATTTATTACAGTTTATGGGTTTAATATAGTCATTACTGCAATATGCTGGAGCATTCATTAACAGAGAGTTGTAAATACTGCAGTATAATGCACTACAGTATGGTTCAAAGACACTAATGTTTGCTATACATTACTATAACATTTATTCATGTGGGAGGAGTTTATTAATCGGGTGAATGTCATGAAACGTGACATTCCTCAACAAAATCAAAATCAAATAAAAATTCTAATAAATCAATCAATCAATCAATCGATCGATCGATCAATCAATTAGTTTATTTTGAGAACATCAATGTTTTGCATTGTGAAATTATTTAATTGTTTTCTTTTTTTTGTTGCAAAATCTGCAATGCAAAAATAATGTTTTTAATATTGAATCATTTAGATTTTGTTGTGATATATGAACATTTACAGCGATTCACCCATTGTTCCACTACAGTAGGATTTCTATTGCTCTGAAATAAATACAGTATACGCTGACAGTCGAGAGGTCATGGTAAATCTAGCCCAATCCCAAACATTCATTGAAGCTGATCCTAAAACTCTACTCTCCTCATACAGAATGATCACAGTTCATCAAGCTGGAAAACAAATAAGCACCAAAGAATCACCTCCAACACATTATTACAAACCATGCTGGAAATACTACAAACACAACACTGTAATAAAATAATCATAATAAAGGCTTGAATACACAGCAGGTATTCAGGATGAGAACACGTGGACTGACACAGCACTCATGCAAAACACTACATTAAAATTAATATTGATAAAAAACATCACACACACACACGCGCACACACACACGCTCACACACACTTAGACATATCTGAAAGCAAAGGCAGTAAATAGCTACACTGTAAAAAATGTTCAGAAATGAGCAGTTTTCCGTATGTTTCCTGGTTTATATCTGCTGTTGAGATGCATTATGGGATCTTGATCTTTCTTCCAACAGCTTTTAACCTGTAAAAGTTGCAAAAAGTGACCTTTAATAAACATGTGTAATAGTGTGCAGTGCTATATTGTGTGTGTTGCTGTTGTATATTACACTATTACCTTGTAATAAACTGCAGCACGTTTACTGTTCTCCCAGATAGCAAAGAATTCTGGCCCAGACTTGGCATAAAGCTGGCACAACAGGCATTCATCCGGCCCTGGCATACAGCATGTGGCCAAAACATGGCCAAGGTAGGGCAGAAGTGGCACCGTCTTTAAGGTGGCACACAAGACAATACATGAGCCAGATGTAGTATTTGGCCCAGATGTTAAAAATTTTGGCTACATGAGATTGACCCGCATTTAAAATACATTCAAATTATTTTTTGAGTAAAGAAATTTTAATACACAAAGTCATTTCCATCTTTCTGTTTTAGTCTTCTAATGTCTTCATGTAAATCCAGGAAACAATCCAGATTAAATTATTTAAGCGAATTATTACCATTTAAAAAAAAATATATCATTATTAACCTGGGGAGGGCGACACAGTGGCGCAGTAGGTTGTGCTGTCGCCTCTCAGCAAGAAGGCCGCTGGTTTGAACCTCAGCTCAGTTGCCGTTTCTGTGTGGAGTTTGCATGTTCTCCCTGCGTTCACGTGGGTTTCCTCCGGGTGCTCCGGTTTCCCCCACAGTCCAAAGACGTGCGTTACAGGTGAATTGGGTAGGCTAAATTGCCCATAGTGTATGGGTGTGTGTGTGAATGTGGGGTGTGTGTGTGAATGTGTGTGTGTGTGGGTGTTTTCCAGAGATGGGTTGCGGCTGGAAGGGCATCCGCTGCCTAAAATCGAGCTGAATAAATTGGCGGTTCATTCTGCTGTGGCGACCCTGGATTAATAAAGAGACTAAGCCAACAAGAAAATGAATGAATGAATGCATTAATATGGGGTCACCACGGCGGAATGAACCACCAACTTATGCAGCATATGTTT